GACCCTTTAGGACAAAGTAGAATTGCTCCTTAGGGTTTCGGAAGCTGTAAATCTTTACGGGATCAGAAAGCCTCATCTTTCTCCTGTGGAGCAGCTGGTGGACAGACTTTTCATTAATATCCCAGTGATTAGCCCACCAGGCCACCAGGGCCCGGTGCACATGGAGTACCAGAACCCTCTGCCCAACACCTGCCTTCTGGGCCCCACTCCACCCCACCCCAAGAATAGGGCATGCTGGTACCTCGGTGAGGCTCAGGTGCAGACACTTCTACTTCTGTGTACTCCACGTCCGAGTTCAAAGGCTCTGCTCAAAGGAAGCACAGCCTGGGTTTAGAGAGACTCTCAGCCCACACCGAAGGTTTCCATTCACAGTATTAAAATAAATGATGCCGTATTTTGAGAGGGAAGGTAGACATGGGGCTATGAACTCCATTCAGAATGAGTTCCCAGGGACAGTGCTCTCTTCTCTACTACCCCATGACCGGGGTGTGTGGTAGGACCTTTGGTCCCTATTAGTGTCATGGTGGGAGGATTTTTTTAAAGCTCGGGTAGATACAAGAAGAAGTCCTGGTGTGGCGCTGTAGGCTAAGCAGTGGACCGCAAGGTCAGCTTGAACCATGAGGTCAGTGGTTCAAACTCATCAGCCTCTCCTCAGAAACCCTATACAGGTTCACTATGAGTTGGAATGGACTCGAAAGCATTTAACAACAACAGATACAGGAAGTGGAGTCCCTGGGTGGTACAAATGATTAACACATTCGGCTGCTAAGAGAAAGATGCCTCAGAAGCAAAGCCAGGTTCTCTACCTGCAGAATGTCAGCCCTCAGAAAGCCTATGGAGCTGAGCTCTCCTTAGGCACAAGCACCATCATGAGTTGGAATTGGCCTGGGGGGTGAGGGGTGGGGTGGGAAGGTGGGGGTGTGTGTGTGTGTGTGTGTGTGGAGAGAGAGAGAGAGAGAGAGACCCAAGAAGTAGCCAGATAACTCAGTTCAGTCTCACTTGAAATGCTAGATGCCTTCTCCACACCATGAGCAGAGAAAGCTAGCCCCAAGGTTAAAGGGTCTCAAAAATGGGAACAGGTCACCCACCAGCCTCAAAAATGCTTTGAGAACAGGTGGCACACACCTGAAAAAACAAGTTAACAAACTCAAGCTATAGTGAAATCTAGTAAATTTGTCTTAAAGTAAGATGTTATTGTTTTGTTGTGAAAGGTCAAAAGAACTGGGTTCCTCGCCAGCAAATAAAACAGTGATTCTGCAGTGAAGGCCACAGAGCGGTGCTTACAGCTTTACTGGGCTGCCTACTCCACTTTAGCTCCCAGGATGGCAGCTCAGAGCCCGTAGGTAATTTGAATCCCTCTGAATGTCATTGGGCAGAAACAAGTGAGCCTGTTGTCTCCAGAAATAAGCAGCAACGCCATTTAAAAAGACATCCCCCTCTGCCAGGCAAGAGAAGCCATCCTACAAGAACAGGACTCCTGGTGTGGCACTGTAGGATAAAGCACTGGACCGCAAGGTCAGTTTGAATGGCAAGGTCAGCAGTTCATCCACCAGCTGCTCCTTGGAAACCCTCTACAGGGTCACTATGAGTTGTAACCAACTCTGTGGCACTTAACAACAACAACAACAACAACATTCTTGGGTCTTTACATTTACTCCCATTAGAAATTTCCTTTTCAATTTCCTACTAGAATCTGGGTTCATTTCCCATAAAAGACACCAGATAGGTTCTTTGTTTTGAGACTGCACCTTGATATTTCCATTCTATGGGACTGCCAGTTACAGGGTCTATAACACAGGTGAGAAACTATCCATGGGTCTTAGCTGTTTTGTTTTTGCTTTTCCTGTGGGTCTTTTTAATGTAAAGGTTAGGTTTCTAATAAAATATTTAATTCAATAATTACCTTTGTTTTCATTTAGTGGTTTCATTGCGTGGTTTCCAACATCTTCATCGTAACCTAGTTGAAAAATAATGTGATGAATTAGGATGAGTGGTAATGGAAATTCTAGTTCTCTGCAACTTTTTGAAAGTTCAATGCCATTAACCAGAAGTCAGGGGTCTTGGTGTGGCACTGTAGAATCAGAACTGGATTGTGAACCACAAGGTTGGCAGTTCAAATCCACCAGCAGCTCCATAGAAACCCTGTACAGGATGCTATGAATCGGAACTGCCATGACAGCACTTAACAACAAGGTCAACAGGAAGCCAAGCATAATTTTCTCCATGGACCTGGCAGCGAACAGGGGTAACGTGGCTGGGGCCTGGATCCTTCCTCTCTCTCTTTGGTCCTATTTGATGCACTTAGTGGTCTCTTTCTAATACTTTTGGGAAGTCTACTATCCCACTGGGAGGGACACTTTTTGTATTTGTTGTTGTTGTTGCTAAGTGCTGTGAGTCAGTTCTGACTTACAGCCACCCTGTATAGGGTTTCTGAGGAGTGGCTGATCCTACAGCACCACACCAAGAGTCCTTTTGTATTTAGTGGGTTTTATTTAAAGTAATTTTTTATAAATATTATTAAAAACTATGCCTGAAGAATACACTATTTTGCAATATGTATTTGAAATCACTATTATGATGAAAAGACGTTTAAACCAAAGTAATCCATGCAGACAATATAATAAAAATAGGAAATTTTTTGCACTTTACAAATTTGGGGGGAAAGTCTCTATTTTAATATAAACGTCTATCAGCGGTGAGCCTCATAACCAGGGCATTCCTTTATCATTGCACTTTTTTTTTTTTTCTTTTCTTTTTTCTTTTAAAGAAGAGCAAAATCCTTACATTGGTTTTACCTAGTGGCAAATTTGAGGAATGCAGTGGCTCCACATGACTGCAAACCAGAAGGTCGGTGGTTCAAGTCTACCAGCTACTCTAAGTGATAAAGGTGAGGCTTTCTGGTCTTGAAAAGCTTTTTTTTAACGCTGTGGAAACCTTATACAGGGTTGCTCTGTGTCAGAGCCGCCTCGACGACATGTAACGACAACAGTGACAAATTTGAAATTTGTACTCCCAATAATTTCATCTGAGATGTTCTGCCAGTGCCTTCATGTGACACCTGGGCTCTGTCTTACAAATGGAGAGTGACTGTTGTTTAGTGCAGAATCTGACTCACAGTGACCCGACCTGGGTAATGTTCACTTAGTGTCTCTGAAGGCAACACCTGATGTGTCCCAAGGCTACCATCTTTCATCCCTCAGATGTTGACAAGGTCGTGAAAACAGAATAAAATGTTCCAGCTTGCTTTTTAAGTGTTTGTTTTGTTGCCTATCCAACAAGTCTGTGTCTGATTAGATTAAGCGCTCTTCCCAAATTCACACCACTACCTACCAATTCTGTCAAGAAAGGAGAAGATAGCAAATTAGGAAAAACCTTCTGTGACTTTAGGAAATCATGATTGTACCGTAATGACTGTTGGCTTCAGTATTGGAATCGGATAGTATCTTCTCGTTGTTGGAGTTCAGCAATGGTACTGCTGGCCTTAAAATGAAATTTAAAAAGGAAAAATGATATAGCGCAGTTTACCCTAACCTCAAACCACCAAGAAAACCAATGGAAGATCATGGGAAAACTGGGACGAAGTTTCTGGAGACAGAAAGACTTCACTTTCGCATTCCTAAAATTAGCATTCTTTTAATGCTAGGATTATTTGACAATAATTTTTGTTGTTAAAATGAAGGCCAGGGCCTAAGGGAACATGAATACTGGACACCTGGTGACCATACTGACCTAGAGCTCCTAAAACCTTCCCATGCTACTGTTTCTCTCGAGGAACACAATAGCCATTTGCCACACTTTTGGATTTTTTGTTAGTTTGTTTCACAGAACAATAGAAGAAATCATAAAGCCATTTTTTTAAAAAAATTAAAATAAAATACTGCTGGCAAGACTTCCAGAATTACAGCCACACACAAGCCACCACAGTAGGACAAACTGACAGATGAATGGTGGTGTACAACCTAACAGAAATTAACTTAAGAACATTTTATCACCCCGAAAAGAAACCGGTTAACAGCCATTTCTCCTTCCCCACGCCTCCCAGTCCCAGGCAACCATCAATCTACTTCTGTCGTTAAGGGTTAACCTATTCCGAACAATGATTGTATAAATGTAATCATACCCTTTGCAAAAAAAAAAAAAAAAAAGACCAAACCCATTTTTTGGAATAATATAAGTCATATGAGATCTATTTTTCCAAGTTAGCAAATTTTTAAGATTCTATTACCATCAGAATTGTATCAGAGAAGGGGATTTCCCATGTTATAGTGTAGGGAGAACATGATCTCATAACAAAAGCCATCCCTTTCCATTACACGACAGTTGGCGGTCTTCCAGACAGACAGACACACCCAGGTGTCTGCACACGTGTGTACACACACACACACACACACACACACACCACTCAAACATCACTCAAGAACCACTGAAAACTTCCTAATGACCAGAATCTCCCCAAAGACAAGTAAACACATCTCATAAAGCAGCTGCCTCCCCTTTACAAGTATACTGACCTGGACATTTCCACTGGCATCTGTTTAGCTTTAAAGGGAAAGAGAAAATCAAAGTCAGCATGAAATATCCATGTCTGTACCAGATGTTGTTGTTGTTGTTGTTGTTGTTATGTGCTGCAGAGTCATAGCAACCCTGTACATGGTTTCCAAGGCTGTAAATCTTTATTGGAATAGAAAGCCTCATCTTTTTCCCATGGAACAGCTGGTAGTTTCGAACTGCTGACCGTGAGGTTAGCAGCCCGATTTGTAACCACTACGTTACCAGAGCTCCTTCCGTACCAGATAGCAGCACTCAGTTTTAATCACATTTGACTTTTCCCCTGAATATTGAATATCCATAAAAGGAGAGAAATGAAAGCTAAGTATATTTATGCCTAAAAAGAGAGAGAGAGAGAGAGAATGCAGATTTTCTCTTGGTCTTAAACTACGAGGTTTCACGTCATTTCCCTAGAAATACGACCTTTTGTCTATTTTAGCCGGGAGTGACTTTCATTAGTGGTGTGTGGGGTAGGAGACAAAAACATGGTACTGGAACCCCATCGATCAGCTGTGCGGGCAGCTCTCCGGATCATTTCAAAAGGTAAAAGCTCAATCAATCCCTTTCCTGTTAATTCCAAGCTGGCCTAAGTGTAAGGACAGGTTCAGCAAACTGAACACTGTTCTGGAGCTGGTCTTCCCAGTGGAATTGTAACCTCTGAGTTCTAGACAAGTCCTAGACTCCTCCTTATCCACATCCACTTCCTTCTTTTCCAGGTAGCAAGAGCAGGGGCTTCAGCAGAACCCACCTTAACTCAGATAAACATTTCTGTGGGATTTACTGGTGCTGGAAGGAGCCCTGGAGGCATGCCTGTCAAGCTGTTAACCAAAGGGTTGGTGGTTCAAACCCACCAGCTGCTTTGTGAATGGAAGAAGTGGCATCAAGATTACTACCTTATGGAGGGAGTGCTACCTTGTCCTCTAGGGTCACTATGAGTCAGACGGACTCGATGGCCACAGGGACAGTACTGGCATGGTGCCCTTCTCCCTCAGGTGCTGGCTGGCTGACTCAGAATCCTTAGTGCCAGTGAGAGATCCCGGCTTCCCATTCCTGTTAGGCAGACTCCAAGCACAAGGTAGCTATCACGGCACAAACGGTAGTTAAGTGGAGGACATTCAGTGGGTAGGGTGTGTTCATGATGTCCCCATGATACTCAAACTCCACTTTACCAACTGCAGGACCAGGTGTGGTCAGACACAAAGAAAACATTTCTTCTGATCACATGGAGATGTAACTTCTCACCCCTAATTTATCTTTTCTGGATCACCCAATTAGAAAGCATTCCCTTTCGTTTCTGCCTAGTGACATCCAGGGCAATAGTAGTTCCTCACCCACAAGGTGTCAAGATGGCACCGAAAGGAGAAAAACTATCTGCAGTGGCACTCCTCAGCTTCCACGGGGACAGAGCACCAGCCTCCCATAAAGCTGAGCTGCCATCCAAATATGGCCAATTTCCTGGCAAGGGCCGCCTGTCAGAATGGAATGAGAAAGCTGTCCTTACCCTTGGATTTCTTCAGAGAATAGTATCTGGCCCCAGCAACCAAGGCGGCAATTATCACCCCAATTACAATCACTGCAATAAGTCCTTTCATCCACGGGGCAAGAAAGACTAGAAATGAAAACATTGAAAAATAGAGGTTTTTCCTCAGCCAGCATGAAGTCATGTCAGCTTTAAATAACCAGTAAGACTGATTTTCACAGTCCTGGTAACTGGCATTGTACTCTTACCTTAGTACCTTTCACGGACGCTGCACTTACGACTGGTGCAGAAGTGGTTATTTTTGCTATAAACAGAGGTTGTCTATGTCATTAGAGAAGACAATATAGTTTTGCTGGGGTATACTTCTTTTGGGGTGTCTCTTAAGTCCTTTTCCTTCTGTAGAGTCCCTTAACCATATTTATCTTGAATAGTCCAAACCTCTTGGCCACAAAGGGTCCCTGGATAGACATTTGACCTAGGTTGAGCCACCTGGCATCTCTCTGCTAAGAACTTAGAACCAGGACTTTGAGAAACAGTGCCAATCGCTTATAACAATTAACTATTTTTCTTGTTAATTTCAGCGAGTTTCTGTGACTTGCAACCAGAGTCTGGAGGACACTGGTCACTCATCTTCAGTCACATATGCTGAACTCCTGCCCACACAGAGCATGTTTTCTGGTCACACACGCTCATTGGATCTCCCACCACACCTGGCACTTGGGACCCCAACTCACCTCTGACTGTCAGCATATTGCTGCGAGGGATGTCTCTGGCAATGTTGGCTCTGTTGATGGCGGTGCAGTAATACTGCCCTTCCTGCTCCTTGCTAGCCTTTGGTTTTTGCCAAATTGCCTGGGTGATATTTGAAGAGGTGTAATAGAAGGGTTTGTCCTCGTTTTCTCGATAAAACTTAAAGGTGATTGGCCCAGTACCTTCATTCACAGAGCACTCAAGCTTAATGGTCTCCCCAGACTCCACTTCCTCATTCAATAGGATAGCCAGCTTGACTTCATCAACTGGAGCTGAGAAACAAGAAAAGAGTTAGTCAGCTCTGAGAAAAGAAAGGGGGGAAAAGAAGGAACATGGCGCCACTGCTGGTCCTGGACTGTCTACCTCTTAGGCTGGGACTTGGGCTCTATCCAAGTCCTGGCTCCATTGTTCCTTCCTGGAATAGGCCAGAACGGACACTTCTGTCCTCACATGTTGATTAAACACAAGATACTAGTGACACTTCCCTTCAATTATTGTCTCAAGTATGACTGACCACTCAGTTTGACAATGAGATTAATCAAATTCTTGAATAAATAGACATGCTCCTTTGGGGTCTGTTTCAGAGGTGGGTGTGTGCTTTCTCTTTTTGCTTACAAAGGTGCTTGGCACTTACAGTAGATGCTTTCACTCCAATCCTTCCATCCTTGGAGTCCTTAAAGCTTCTGATTATCACCTATGCTTTCCCTTTCAACTCAGCTGTCTCAGGCTACCTCGATGCCTCACAGTCAAATTCTCTTCTTTCCTTACCTGCCACCTTGTAAATACGGACTTTCTGCAAAACTTCTGTGTATCTTGATAGTCCAGATTATTCCCTTGACCTTCAAGTCTTGATTTTTACCTGCATATTTCGACCCAAATGGTTTGAACTACAAGGTCAGGAAATCAAACTCACCAGCCGCTCCTCATAAACCCTATACAGGGTCACTATGACTAGATGGCAATTAACAATATTTCCACCCAGAAGCCCTCATTCCCAGCAGGTCCAAGCAGAACTCACCTTCCTCTTGCCTCCACTTTCCCTGGGTCCATACTCAACCACTAAAATTCTGCTCCCAAATTGTCTCCCCAAGTAGACTTTCCCACTAGTGTGAGCATGAGCAGTCAGGAACTGGCAATCAGATTGTGAGTCACTCTTTTGTGAGTGCAACGGTGATTAGATCTTGGAGGTGCTGATCCCACACCAAAGTCGACTTCCTGAGGGTCCAGTCTTACCTGACAGCCTCTCAGTGTGAGCTGAGACACAGATGGGTAGTGACTAGTTGGCCTCAGGAGGCTGATGGTCCAGCTCAAATCCCAGCTCTACCACCCACCAGCTGTTTGTACTAAACCTTAGTTGCCTCATTGTAAAATAAGAATACTACTTCTACCTGTCTTATTTGGCTATTGTATGTTTTCATGGAAGTAATTTACTTAAAGTACTTCACATAGAACAGGACACAGGTCCAGAGCTCAGCCAATGTTACAATTACTATAAAACCAACAGCCACCTAGCCTTTCACACATCCTGAGCGCTGGAGTCTCTGTTCTCTCTAACTGGGAGAGCTACCAGTGATCTCCTGACACCCCAGTCTCATCTTCTCCTTCTTGTTCTTTATTGCATACAAACTCTAAACTCCCAAAATTGGCATTTGATGCCTTCACAGTTGGGCTCAGCCACTTTCCCAGCATATAGCCAATGACCCCCCACTTATAACCTTTGTTTCTAGACATCACATTTACCCCTAGTCCTTGGAACCGCTCCATAGTCTTTTGCTTCTGTGCTTGACTAGGTTGATAGACCATCTACAGTACTTTCTGCCTACCTATTGGCACACTCTGGCACCTAAGCCAGCTCTTCTGTGAAAATTTCCAACTCAATCCAGATGATACTTCCCACCCCTTAAATTCCTGTCACCATCATTGTAAGGACAGTTCACAAGACAACTAATCACGTGTTTGTTGCCTAACACTTGTCTATGTCTGTATTGCAATTCAAATATTTCTCTGTTACTTTATCAGTCATCAATGAAAGCAAGGAATAGATTTCTCTTTTTTTGTGTTCCCCATAGCATTAGGTATTTAATATATATGTCAATGTTAATTTGTAAACTACTGCCGCTCTTAGACTATACATTCGTAGAGGCAGGAATCGACCTTTCCAACTTGAGATGTCCACAGTGGTACATGCATACAGGCAAGCACTCATTAAATGAGACGGAGGAGGTGGGGGAAGAAGGAAAGACCCTTGTTAAGCCTGTTACTAGAGTTGAAGAATAGTAAGAAATGTTAGCAATGGCATTCCTACAGCCTTCTGAAAGGCATCAGGTAATTCACAAAGCTCAAGGAAAAATGTCCACTCCAAGGCAGTGATGTGCTTCTCTTGAGTCTGAGCATCCCAAGGGAATGCTAGCAAGTTCCCTGAGACCACTGCCTGGAAGTGTTCTGTATATTGCAGAGCTATCCTGACAAGGGTCAGTAGCAGAAAATCAGTAACAGAGAGAGTTAGCAATTTATCAAAAAATGAGCAAAGACTAAGGAAACCCAAGCACAGGGCTTTTAGTGCTCCTTGAAATCAGAACACTTACCATCTTTTACCAGTTAAGATCAAAGGTTCTGAAATGAGATTATACTGAGTCACATCAAATGCTCTGGACCTGTTTACCTGGATCTTGGTCCTGCTTTGACTAGTGTGTGGGTTGTGGGCATTGCAGAAATACCACTCATTTCTCTTACGGCCTCATTCCCTTAAGTCTTCAAAAATGTTCACTAAAGTCCCAACCTCTCATGATTGTTTTCTCATAACAACTTACCTATTACCTTGACCTTCAGGACCTCGCTGATTATTTCGGTGTGGGAATGACAATTATCCGCAATACACTGGTATTCAGTATCTTTTGTTGGATTATCGTGGAATACCGCAGGGTTGTTTGAGTCCTTTTGCAAGCTCCCTAAAACTTTATTTGCTTTTAAAAGCTGGTAATAAATAGGTGACGTTCCGTTTGTTGATTGGCAATAGATTGCAACGGACTGTCCTTTTATCACCTCAGATCTGGTGTCATGAAAAATTCTGATCTGGGAGAGCATTTCTAGAACGACAGAGAAAGAAACCATCTGAAGGGCACCAAAGGTAGAAGCAAAAACATCCAGCCCAAGAGCTTCCTTCTGCAAGCTTGGGCTTTGCTTTCTTTGCCACCATCATCGTATTTTATGCCTGCCCACCTAATCCACCTTTACAAGTCTCCTATGGGAAGAAGTCCAGGTTGTGTAGTGGGTTGAGCATCAGGCTGCTAAGTACAAGGGCAGCAGTTCAAAACAACAACCCCCCCCCAAAAAAAAAAAAAAAACGTCCGCCCCCAATAAAAATTAAAACCCCAGATACCCTATACGGGGTTGCTATGTGTTGGAACCGACTCAATGGTACACAACCACCACCATTAAACTCTATATTGGGTCACTATGTGTCGGAACCGACTCGACAGCTCATAACCACCACCACTACGGTGGGAATGAAAGGTAATTTTTTAGGTTATGAGGAGACAGAGGCAAAGAAATGCTATAAACAAAATGCACTTGTTGACACTTGTCAATTCTCAGTCACAGTGATCCTAGGAACAGAGTGGTAATGCTTCATAGAGTGTCTTTACAAAAGCAAACTGCTACATCTAGCTCCTGCTGAGTGGGTTTGAACCACTGACCTTTCAGTTAGCAGTGTAGCATTTAACCACGGCATCATCAGGGCTCTGTCAAACATTTTTGCTGTTGTAAAGTGTCATCGCGTTTGTTCCAACTCATAGAGACCTTGTATAGGGTTTCTGAGGCTGTAAATCTCTATGGGAGCAGAAAGCCTCCACTTTCTCCCTTGGTGCATCTGGTAGATTAGAACTGATGACCTTGTGATTAGCAGCCCAACTCATAACCCACTATGCTACCAGGGCTCCTTTATACAAAATGTAGGACTATACAAATTCAAGACAAGCATTGTTATTAAGTGCCATTCCCTAGGTACTAAATGAAACTACGCTAAGCTCAAACACTGCCCAGTCCTGTGCCATTATATTATAGCTCTATAAACACATACCTATATTTTCACCACAAGGTAGGCAGTTCAAACCCACCAGCTGTTCCTTGGAAACACTATACAGGAGCGCTATGAGTCAGAATTGACTCAATGGCACTTAACAACAACTACATTTTCATATCTCTCACATACACAAACACATCCTTTTTTGGAGTTAATAAAAGATACAGGAAAAGAATTAAAAATGTACACAACAAATATTCAAACTGAATATATTTTACAACAAATCCTCCTTAATACCTCAGTCTTCTGATACTAAATCACATGCTGGAAGGTAAGAATTCTGCTAGGTTATTGTAGAAGTTAACTTATCTATAAAGCTTATAAATTAACACTATCTCTTCCCAATAATAAAATGAGTAATTAAAAAATATAACAACCTATATTTGTCTCTTGCATTATTTCCTATTGCGTCAGATGGCCAGAAAGAAAAAAAAAAACCTCACCAGCATTGAGTTGATTCTGACTCATAACAAACCCTATTTAGGGTTTTTTCTGAGAGTATAAATCTTTATGGGAGCAGGCAGCCTCATCATTCTCCTCTGGAATAGCTGGTGGGTTTGAACCACCAACCTTGCATTTATCAGCCCAATGCCTAACTCAACAACACCGCCAGAACTCCTTAAACCAACCTGCTAGTTCAGTTGAGACTAAAGTCTTGTCTGGAAAACCCATCGGCACAGGACTGTGACCGTGACAGTGACAGCTGGACAGATGTTCTCCATCCATCTAGGACCTTGCTGTGCAGAGATGTGTCCACAGGGCCACCAGCAGTCACTGAAGCTCTCATTAGAACTGTAGAATCTGGCCCCTTCCTCACCATAACCCGCACTCAGACCAGCTCCCATGTACTCGACTGACTGGTATCAAGTCTGAGAAACCGGACCTAGGTGGCCCCAATGTCCACATTCTGCCCACCAGGAATCCTAGCCCTTCTGGTGGCCAGGCTATGGATTCAAAGAACCAGAGTTGACAGCTGCTTGGGGTTCTGGTGTCACTGCACTGTTAATCACGGACGGACGGTTCAAACCCACCAGAGGCTGCTCAGAAACCCTGCGTAGTCACTGAGTCAGCAACAGCAAGAGCTACTTACATGTCTCACACTGAATAAGCAGGGTTGCCTCCCTGGTCTTTTGGGTGGGACCCTGCTCATGCAGCCAAATTCTGGCCAATCAGGGCCCACATCAGCAGCATGCAGCCACAGTCAAGTCATGACCTTGATTTTGACCCATAACATCTTCCTTCCAATGCCCCTCTCTGGTGCACAAGGTAGGTAGTTCAAACCCACCAGCAGCTCAGCAGGAGACAAATGAGGATTTACAGCCTCAGACCCTATATAAGGTCACTCTGAGTCAGACTGGGCTTGATGGCCAAGGGTAGCGGGTGGGCACTCTGATCAGGAATATCAACTCGCTTCTGCTTGGCCTTTCAATGCCACCCTTCTCTCCTTCCCTTGACTTCCTGCCCTGTCTGAAGCCTGCTCTGCTTCCGGACAGGACAGGGTGGTAGCTGACAATAACCTCCCTTTCTCTCCTTTGATACTGGGCTCGGAACCAGTGGGCTCATACTCACCACACACGGTGATCTGGACCTCATTACTCCTCTTGACCACGTTGCCAATACCTGCAACACAAGTGTATGTCCCGCTGTCCCTCTTGGAGGCAACCTTGGTGAAATTCTGAGCATGTGTCACATTCAGGCTTCCCTTCTGGATGGTGAAGTTGGCTTGGGGGGCCCCTGGGATGGTGCACCATAGACTTAGACTTTCACCCTCATCCAGAAGTGTGGTGGAAGATTCCAGCTTTGGCTTGGAAAAAAGTTCTGAAAAAATAGCCAGCAGCAGTTAATTAACCAGCATGATATTTTAATGGTGGACACACCACATTAAACATTTGCCAAAACCCACAGAAATGTACAAAACAGAGTGAACCCTAATGTAAACCATGGACTTCAGTTAATTAGAACGTATTGCTACTGCTTCATTGGGACATTAGTGGCTCGGTAGTAAAATTCCTACCTTCCATGTGGGAGACCTAGTTCGATTCCCGGTCAATGCACTTCTTGTGTAGTTACTACCTGTCTGTCAAAGGATGCTTGTGTGTTGCTAGGATGCTGAACAAGTGTCAGCAGAGCTTCCAGACTAAAATGGACTATGAAGAAAGGCTTTTCCAAAAATCTGCCAATGAAAACTCCATGGATAACAGCCAAGTCGGATCTGTAACTAGACAGGAGGGTGGCATAGGACCAGGCAGGTCCACTCAAGGGCAGTTAACAATGGATCCATCAATTGTAACACAAATGCAAAATGTTAATAGGAGAAACAATGTCCAAGAGGAAAGGGTATTCAGGAACACAGCACAATATTGTCTGTATAAATTTTCTGTAAATGTAAAACTACTTTAAGAAATAAAGCCCATTGAAAACAAAACAAACCAACACCCAAAAAACAAAGCAGTGAGTGGGAACAGGGAGAGATATAACTGGTACCATTCCCTAGCTCCTCATGGAGAGGCCATTGGCCCACTGGTTTTTGTCAGAAACAACTTCTAACTTCCTACTAAAAGAACAAAACTTTTTCTTTGATTCTCATATATCCTGATGATCACACCATCAAAAAGTTCGAGTTCATATTCTCTGTCTGGAATTTCAATGGCAAGTTTTGCTCTCTTGTTAAAAGAAATCTTCTCTGATTTCTTTTCCAGGGATGGCTTAGAAAACGTTTGTAATTTGTAAACCCAGCATGCAATGACTCATTCATTCCCTCATTTATAATCCACAAATTCACTCACTCTCACTCCATAACGATTTATTTCAGGCCGACTCTCTTCTAGGCACTTTGCCAGACAGGCGGGAGACATTTGTGAATCAGAAAGCATTCCTGGTTGCACGTGTCTGTGAATACACTTCTGTCTACTGAGTGATTCAGACACATTTGTAGCAGAATCCACAGAGGGCACACTGAACCCAAGGTTGTGGGATCAGGAAAGGTCTCCTGGATGAAGTTAAACAGGCAAAGAGGACAGGGAAAGTGTTTGAAGTAGAAGAAACGGCACGTGGGAAGGCCTGGCGGATGTCAGTAGTGGTAAAAACCAAGGGTAACTCTAGAGCTGCCTTGTCATGTGAAAGGCTGTCAGTCTTCCTGGATCATGGGAGGAGGAGAGGCCAGAGGTGGAACTGTAGACCAGGAAGGTCCTTGGTGGTGGTGGTGGTGTGCCACCGAATCAGTTCCAACTCATAGCGACTCTGTATAGGGTTGCGAAGCTGTAAATCTTTACAGGAGCAGAAAGTTTCATCTTCCTTCCGCGGAGTGGCTGGTAGGTCTGAAGTACTGATTTTGCGGTTAACAGTCCAGCTCATAATCCACTACGCTGCCAGGGCTCCTCGTGAAGGCCTTTAAAACCACTGTAAGATGTAAGGACTATATCCTCAGGGCAGTGTGAACAAAGGAGAGAGGCAGATGTGTTTTGTAGAAAGGAGAAGCTGGGTGGGGATTGGAGTGACCCAGACTGGAGGCAGGAAGGATGTAATGAGGACCTGAAGCCAAGTGACATGGGATTACTGGAGAGAAGGAGCAGCTGGTCACCCTTACTCTAGAGGTTCCTATGATGAGGAATGAAGCTAAGCTCCTACAGCCTCCCAAGGCCAAGCACTTGCTAAGCTATTGCACGCTGTTCCACTTTAAGGAGTTATCTGTACTCTGTGTATATTTTTTACTCAGTTACAGGACAACTCTTTGTTTGTGTTAAGTGCCGTCAAGTCAGTTCCAACTCAGCGACCCCGTATGGGGCTTCCAAGGAGAGACTGGTGGGTTTGAACTATCGGATCTTGTGGTTGGCAGTCCAGTGCTGATCCTACAGTATCACACAGGGCAACTACCAGTTAACTACTAAACCAATATAAACACTTGGATCGCTAATGTTAACAAATGCAAACTGACTTCATAGTTATGACCCTTGATGAAGAAAGGAAGGAGTCTGCATTAAAAAAAAACAAAAAAATAAAACAAAGGAACAAGACAATCAACGCCTGTTAGGAAACCTTTGTGAATTCGTTTGAGAGAATGCAGCCGGAAGTCAGGGAATGGAGTGCTGCTGTTGATTCTAACATTTACGTACTGAACAAGATTGAGGGTAAAAGTCATCACTGTTATCCTCAAGGTTATATAGCAATGGGTGTCATTTCGATCATCATCAAAACCCACAACAAAGTCCTCCTACGTTCTTCAACAGGAAATAAAGCCAATGTTCCAAAGAGGTGGTTTCCCATCATTAATCTGTTTTATTAAGACACTTTGATCCATCCATCCATGCTTCTTCCTTCAGTCCATCTTATTTGTGTTCAGAGCACCATCAAAGGCTTGATGTGAGGAATAAGGCGAAAAGTACTCAAAAAGGACACCCTTTCACACCTTCCAATCTCATTAGGCAGATACCAAGAGATACCATGGAAAAAATAACTTAGGAAAAATCCCCAAGAAATGACTCTGCATTTAAAAATATATACTAAAAACTGTAAAAAAATATAAACCATCCTGCTAAGGTGGAGTCCTGGTGTGGCACCATAGGATAAGCACTCGATCTCAAGGTCTGTTTGAGCCACAAGGATGGCAGTTCAAACTCACCAGCCGCTCCTTGGAAACTCTAGACAGGGTCACTATGAGTCAAAACCAACTCAAAGACACTTAACAATTAGAAGTGAATAATTAGGGAATAATATTCTATTTGTAAAGTAGGTAATGGACAACGAGCTACATAGCAGTGACCTCTGAACATGTGGAATGGTGGGTCCCACAGCATAGTCAATAATTCTTGTGCAAAGGGGCTGGCTGGACTATCCTGAGGAGTAATAATGTCAGCCTTTTATTCACTCATTAAACAAATATTTCTGGAACTGCTACAATGTGCCAAGCTCTGTGCTAAATTCCAAAGAAGTGAAATGATTTGAGTCACAGACCTGGTCCTTCAAGCGTTTCTCACAGAGTAGCAGAGACAGACTCTAAACCAAACGGACAGTAACTGTCGATGTGAAAGAGCAGAATGTGGTGGGAATGCAGGTGTGACCAGCTGACGCTATGAAAGGCAGCCTGGAGAGATTTGGGGCTTGGATTATAAGGACATTAAAGGTTTTTCAGATGGCCAAGGGGAAAGGGTGCTCCAGACAGATGAAGGTTTCAAGCGAAGGATCATGGGCCTGAAGGAGTTTGAGCTCATGAATAGTGATGTTGACATTTTGTTGCTTTTGTTAAGTACCATCGAGTCATTCTGACACTTAGTAATCCTATGATAGGACTCCAAGAAGCAGTTTGTGGGTTTGAACCTTGTGGTTAGCACTCAAGTGCTTATCCTACAGCACCACATCTGGGGTGGTTTCAGGAAGGCCTAAGTGTAGTGGTTACGAAGCAGGCTGTGAACCGCAAGGTCAGCAGTTCGAAACTACCAGCTGTTCTGCGGGAGAAAGATGAGGCTTTCTGCTCCTATAAAGATTTACAGCCTTGGAAACCCTGTACAGGGTCGCTATGAGTCGGTTCCGACTCCACAGCACATGGAGCTCTGGTAGCGTAGTGATTATGAGTCGGACTGCCAACCTGAAGGTCAGCAGTTCAAAACTACCAGCAGTTCCGAGGGAGAAAGATAAGGCATTCTGCTTCTGTAAAGATTTGCAGCCTCAGAAACCCTGTACAGGGTCTCTATGAGTCAGAACCGACTCCACGGCACACAACAACAACACGTACTCCCATCTTCATAGCACTGAGACGAGGAGAAAGTCACCCAGGCTCACAGAGGTAGTACAGAGGGTGTGGGCAGCAGGGCTGGGATGTGATGTTAGAACCTGTACCCTAGCCACCACAGCTGACTCACTTGACAGTGACTTGTCCCCATTTGCATAACAAGGAAGAAAAGTCTCAACTCTCATTGGCCACCATCAATCTGGATTCTAGCATTCTGGTCCCTTCTGGAACCCACCATATTCAACAGCCTCCAGCAGCTGCAGCCTACCTGTTATGTTGAGCACGATGCTGCTGACCTTGGATATCCGTCTGGCCTCCACTTTGCAGGTGTAATTACCATTCTGTTCCACCGTGGCCATCACTGAGTAGACGGCTTCACTGCTGTGTTCGCTATGTGCCACAATCATCTTACCCTTTTGGATTATGATTTCGGGAAATGCCTGGGTCTGGTATGGCACTTGAATGGTGCACTTAATGTGCAGCGGATCTCCCTCTGTGATCAATCCTGCAGGACTGATGTGGAACTTGGGAATAGAGAAGGATTCTACAAGAGAAGAGGACAATGCAGCTGACTCAGGGTCAAACCTGGGCTAGGGGCAAAGGCATTTCCTACTCTATTTGGCTTGTTCCTGTTTCCAGACATTGTTTTTCCTATTGCTTTAAAAAATCAACCTTTCTGCTCAGAACCCTTTACTTGGGATCCCTTGATGCTCCCTCCTTCTCCCTCCTTCTTAGATCCTTAGCCTTCTTCTTAACTGCATTTCTCTTACATTCCTTAGCTTCTCAAAGGCTATGTAATGTGTGCCTGAAGCAGGGTGACATGGTCCCTAGATCTCAGATCTCTTCTGCAGAACTATCCTCAGATGCCTTCAGAAATAGACAATGAAGTGAGAACTGGACTAGTTCCCATCCATCAAGGATTCCCAACCTTTTCCACATCTACCTTGAATGGACATTCCATGCAACTACGGCATTTCAGCAAGAATATTCCATAGCTTTCAAAAGTAATCATTTATGAGGGAGGTTCAAAGAGTTCATGGAAAAATTCCATATCTTTTCATTTCATTTTTGCCACAAATATTTCAAAGCCCCTCGTATGTGTATATGTGTAAATATTTTTTCAATTGTGTCACAGTAAAAAATATATATGGAAAGTACTGACTTCAGTTTATTAAGACAAGTCTTAAGTGTTAATAATAGCAGTCCAGCCAGGAGGACCCCACTTATTCCCAATTCTAGGTTCTACCTCCCTATACCAAACCAGCAAACCACAAGAAGGATGGAACGAAGAACAGGACTGACCCCTCACGGTGACCAGTTCACTCTTGACTAATTCTGAGGACTCCACCCGAACTCCATGGATGATCATAGCTCGGCAGCGGAACATTAAAATATGGTCCTGCTCCTCAATTGGAAATTCTAACGTCACAAAATTTTGATTCTGAGAATTCTTTGTTCTTGTTCTTTTGATGTTTTTTGTTTCTAGTGAAAACTTTTCGATACTGAAATTGATTGGGGCCTTTTCCTCTTCAACAGAACAATTGACTGTCACGATCCCACCTTCTGTCACCTCCTTCTTATCCAGCGTCATCCTGGGGTTGGGTACTCCTTTAGGGAAAGAGAAAGCCCGTCAGTATCAGCATCACCCAGACAAGACTCCTTCAGCTGAGTCATTGTGGTTGACCCATCTAAGGGTTCTTTTGTTTTGTTCATTACCGCCGAAGCATAATAGTTGCTGGGAGAATGTGTGTCAGAGTAGAACTGTGCTCGATTGGGCTTTCAATGGCTAATTGTTTTGGAAGTAGATTGCCAGACCTTTCTTCCAAGGGGCTGCCTCTGGGTAGACTCCAACCTCCAACCTTTCAGTTAGCAGCCGAACACATGAACTGTCTACACCACCCAGGGACTCCTAATAGTACCTACTCCATGGTAATTTTCAAGCATGTTCATGCCCAGAAAGTTACCAGGTACTTTGAAAACAATAAAATACATTTAAGATAGGATAGGTGCTTTCCAAGTTTACAATCCTATTGGGAAGACAAGTCTTCTCAACGGATTTTTTTTTTTTTTAAAGACAGCATTTATTATTAATTATGTAATTGTAATCATGATTTCTTGAATGCTAACCATGCATCAAGCCACACAGCCAGACTTTATACGGATGAGCACATGCAATTCTTATAAAGGATAAAATGATGTCCTCTTTATAGATGAAGGTCCCTTCAAAAGCACAGTCTAAGAGCCCCAGAGATTGGACACCAGGTCTCCGACGCCAGGGTGTGTGTGTGTGTGTGTGTGTGTGTGTGTGTGTGTGCATGCATAAGCTGCCTTGCAGAGCATGAGGATTTCCAGTTTAAAGAACAGCACTGAAGATCTCCTAGAGCCAGTGCGCACTGCAAAGACACTGAGTAATGGGACAGCCAGGAAGGGATGGGAGAGGATTCCAGGAAAGAGCAGGAACTGAGAGGTGTCTTGACGGAAGGGTGGATTTTTGGCAGATGAAATGCAATGGGGGCCCAGGGCAGATGTTTCAGGGCACACGCTTGTGGCTTTTAAGAGGGCTATCTAGTGTCGAGGTCCCTAGGTGATGAAACTATTTGCATCCTCTACTTACTAAAGGAAGGAGCTCTGGTAGCATAGTGGTTACGAATCGGGCTGCTAACCTCAGGGTCAACAGTTCAAAACTACCAGCTCTTCTGCGGGAGAAAGAGGAGGCTTTCTGCTCCCATAAAGATTTACAGCCTCGGAAACCCTGGACAGGGTCGCTGTGAGTCGGAACCGACTCCACGGCATATAACAACAACAACAACTTCCTGAAGGAGTCCTGGAGGTGCTGCTAATTGGAAGGTCAGTGGTTCAAACCCATCCAGGGGATAAAGATGAGGCTGTCTGCTCCCTAAAAGATTTACAGTCTCAGAAATCCTAGAAAGAGTCAATTAGAATTGGAATTGCCTTGATGACAGTGGGTTTGGTTACTTAACAGAATGTTGGCTTTCAAACCCACCCAGTGGCACCAAGAAAGAAAGGTCTGGCAATCTGCTTATGTGAAGATTCTAGATTCTAGCCAAAAACACTCTCTGGAGCTCAGGCCTAGCAACAGGGTTGCCATGAGTTGGAATTGGTTCTATGGCAGTGGGGTTACTTTGGGTTTTTGTCTAGAGCAGAAAAGTGGGGAAGAGGGCAAGGTATGGATGGTGGTGAATTGGGATCAGCCCAAGGGGACCTGAGGAACCAGCTGAGATGAACTGTGTTCGCACAGGCCACCCTCGGACCGGCACTCATGAGCTCCATCTTGGAGTAATGCGTCTGTGATTGAATCCTAAACTCACTACTACTTCCTGGATGTGTTCCCTCAACCAGCCACTTCCTCTGACTAAACCCCAGTTTCCTCATTTCACCTCCTGGAACTGCTGTTGAGGGAGAAGAGAGTGGATTGATGGAGATGAACTCAGCTAAGTGCCTGGAAATGAGTAAGCCCACAAACAACTTTATCTCTGAAAATGTTTATAACTTGGCATGTGATGAAGCAAAGTAAAGATGCAATAAGCTTTAGGAACATAAGTGGGCTGTAGGGTGAGGCCTGAGGTGGGACAGGAAGACGAGAGCAGGCCCAGTGAGGAAGGAGTTCATGCATTCTTCCAGTCACTCCACAGCTAACTTATCCAACAAATCCTTGTGGAAATGGCACCTACCATGCAGACCCTGAGCCAAGCACAAAGTGCATGGAGGAGCTTTAGGTCCCTACAGTCCTGATGGTTTCTGTGAAGGAGTGGTGTGGAAGTCTCTAGCATCTACCTTGGTAAGATGGGCATTGGCTCACTCAATACTTGGCTACTGAACATCCATCGTTCGCTATTCCTGTGCATCCTCAGAACAATTTTCAAGAGTGTGTATACCTGCCTAGGAAAGGAAACAGACTTCCAGAGGGTGGTAGATTTGCCTGAGGGGCACCTGGTTGGTACATGGCCAAGCTTGGATACTAACAGCTTTCACAGTTTCTACTCTTTCACACTTCTGTTGTCTCCACTTCACCTATATGGTCTTCCATACCTGGGTCTAATGGTGTTTCCTTCCAAACTTCCTTCTTCCTTACTGTTCCCAAGACACTGGGCATCATAATGCCACTGGACTACAATTATTTAAATGAATTCTTCCCCACCAGACTGGAACTGCATCTGACTCACAGCCTTAGGAAATGCTTTTTGAGTGAATCCAAATTCCTGACAACCATTTCCCTTCCTGATTGGACATCCCTACCCCATTTCTAAGGAGCTCTGGAAGCATAGTGGTTACGAATCGGGCTGTGAATCACAAGGTCAGCAGTTTGAAATTACCAGCTGTTCCAAGGGAGAAAGATGAGGCTTTCTGCTCCCATAAAGATTTGCAGCCTCGGAAACCCTGGACAGGGTCACTATGAGTCGGAACCGACTCCATGGCACATTAACAACAACCCCATTTCTACCTGCCCTTTCATCTGCTTAATTTATTCCACAAACATTTACTGAGTGCCTACTGAAAGGTTTCAAAAATGGGCCAGATACCACATCTCTCCTCACAACCTCAACCCAGAAGAGCAGACAGATGTGAAATCTAGTTACAGTACCAACTGAAATGTTGTTGCTGTTGTTAAGTGCTGTTGAGCCGGTTCTGACTCATAATGACCCTATATAGGGTTTCTGAGGAGTAGGGAGTGAAGTGAACTGGAACCAACGATTTTGCAGTTCAAACCGATCTTACAGTGCAGTGCATTACCCACAGCGCCACATCAGGACTCCACTGATTAAAATAGCAACTACCACTTATTGAGCACTCACTCTTTAATAGGAATGGTGCTAAGTATTTTACCTACGTAATTTTTAAAATTCTCTCAACAACTCCCTGAACTGGGTCTCATTACCCTCACTTTACTGGTGACAATTTTTAAGGGATTTGTCCAGATCCCAGAATGACTAGAATTGAGTCTCTTAACACTTAGCCTAACGGTCTTTATGGGAGGGGGCTTTAAGAAGTCTGTGGGAAAATTCCATTATCTTTCAATCCTATTTTTCCATGATTTTTTTTTTTTAAATCCCCTTGTACATGCCATAAATGCCATTGAATGCAGAGAGTGCTTAAAGCCGGGTACCCTGGAGATCAATTTTGTTTGGGAACGTGTCAGAGGAGAAAACTTTGAGTTGAGTCTTGAAAGGGGAAGAGGAACTCATAAGGGAAGAGGTGAACAAGGACATTTGCAGGTTCCAGAAGGCACAACCAGTGCAGACACAGGAGATAGAAACAGCCAGGCACACTGGGCACATGTCCAAAGTTTCTAGGTTAGGAAAGGAACAGGGACGTTCGGGCCTTTAGTTAATCACAATTTCTATTAATGCAGCCAGCTGTGGGCCCTTTATCTGCTTTTTGTTGTGTGCCGTCTGTTCCCACTCCTAGAGACCTTGAATAGGGCTTTCCCAGACTGGCTGGTGGATCTGAACTACCGACCTTGCAGTTAACAGACACAACGCTTATCCTACAGCACTAGCTTCAAGTCCAGGGACTCACCTCTCACCAACACTTCATACTCCACAGTGGTTTTCTCCTTACTGTTCAGGATCACAGTGCATTTGTATTTCCCCGAGTCATAAACTCGGACTTGGGGAATGAAGTAACTCTCCATGTTCTCTGTGGAGGAGACGTTGTAGAACATCACGTCATCCTTGTAGAAGAGCATCAGGTGCTGGGGCCTGGTGGGCGAGGTGGTGCTGATATCCACGATGCACTGGAGCGTCAGGTTCTGTCCGTTCTTCAGATCCCACTTGGGCAGGCTCTCCATGCGGATGCTGTTGATGGTGAACGCTAAGGGCAGAGGGAAGGAGGGCAGACACACCTGTCAGCTCAGAAGCAGCAGCCCAGTGAACTTGGACATGGGTTCTCTAGGATCAACCAAGCCTTCAAATGATCTCAACCCCAGCCAACAGCATGTCTGCAATCCCACGCAAAACCACCCAGCTAAGGCAATCCCGAATTCCTAGCCTCAGAAACAGTGATCAACTCAGTGTGCTTTGTTGCGGGCCTCTAAGGGTGGAGATAGCTTGTTACACATAACAGATAGTCCTTGGAAATCTCTACCTGGTTACTAAGATGAAAAAACATTTTCCTCTTTGGTGACAAACTGTGCAGGCACAGCCAAACCTGAATTACTATGTGCGGGACTCGCTTTTTACACATCAACAGGTGGTTCCCAAGTCACAAATAAAACCCGTTCCTAACTATGTCTTTAGTCACATTTATATGTAAGTCCAAACAGGCGCATATGGTTCTTATTCAGTCTGACTTTAGTGCAAGGAAAAAACGGAATAGGAAAAAGCTGAGTTTGTCTCTTCCTGTAAGTGAAGGTGATTGTGATAAATTTGTTGAGTAGGGTTTGGTCCAAATATTTCAAAGTGAGGTGGATAGACATCACCTTAGAGGGCAAGTGTGAGATGTTTGGAAGTCAGACATTCATAACGCAGACATTTACTGTAGATGGGGTGCCTAGACCCCTGGGAGGTGCATGTACACACTTTGGGAGCCACCAACTGTATGCAAATGTATGTGTTTCATAAGACAAGGTTTACAACCTTCCCTACTAGACCTAAGCAGTTGTGATGGAAGGTTGGGGTTTTGGAGCAGACTAAAAAGGTCAGCACTTTTCATCCTGGACTGATGAAGGCAGATGGAGGAGGATCCAAAGTTATAGACACCTGAAGCATAGAAGAGGCCCATAATGCCACATCCCAGAATACAAAAGCGAAGGGACCTCAGCCTAAAGACCACAGAACAGAGACTGTTGATGCTCCCTGGGAAGACAAAGCATTGTGACTCAGCCAGCCACCTGGCCCTCCACCCGGAAATTACTCAGGAAGAGAGGAGGTAGGAAGGAAGGGGTCAGGAAAATTCCAAGGAGCCACAAAGCAAGATGAACTTCTGTGCTCTGCACAGCGGGTACTGACCCCATCTTTACCATCTTAATCTCAGGCATCTCCAAGTCCTGTTCAAATCCCTTCAAGGGGACATTTATGGAGCATGTGTGCCAGGTACTAGGATTACAGGGTGATTAAGAGAGCACCCTGCTGTCCAAGACATTGCAAGCAGTGGAGGACACAGATCACTGAGTACAATTATATCATTCCATAAGGAAGGGCTGCCCAGGGGAAGACAAGGACAGACTAAAGGAAGTGACTCCTGAGCTAGGCCAAGAAGGGGAGGTGGGGTGCTCAGGGCAGGAGAACAACATGTACCAGGGCACAGGGGCATGAGAAATCACAGTACATTCTGGGCATGGCCAGTTACAGGAACCAGAGTGTGGGGTCAGAGGGCCTTGAGTGGGTGGTACCAGAGAGGAGGGAGTAACAAGATGCGATTGGATTCTAGAAAGATTACTGCCTGTAGTGGTGGTTCTGGTGAAAACTGGTAAGGCCTGAGCTAGAACAGGGGCAGTAGGGCTGAAAGGAAGGGGCAGATTGAAGAAATCTTTAATAGATTCCAAAGGACTTGTTGGATTAAATATGGGGGAAACTGGAAGACAAATACCAGATTCCTGGTTCCAGAACCAAGGAGCATAACAAAGCCATCAAGTCAAGTAGAGAATGCTAGGAAAAGGCAAGGGAAGGAGACAAAGTCACTGGGCAGCTGAGTCTGAGAGATCAGTGTGATACCTAGGTGGAGACATTAGGACTAGATTGGACCAGGGAGATGTGTGCTGGTGTCCGGAGGGGAGTTAATCTTGAGAAAGGAGGAGGTTGTGGAGCCTACCAAGACCAGGGCCAGAGTTTGTTGTTGTTAAGTACTGTTGAGTCGGTTCTGACTCATAGCACCTTGTATAGATTTTCCAGGGAGTGGCTGATGGGTTTGAACCGCCAACCTTGTAGTCAGCAGTCCAGAGCTTATCCTACAGCACCACAGTGGGACTTGGGAAAAGTCAACATCTCTCTTGGGGGAGAATGGAGAGTCAGGAGAACATTCAGGGAAAAGTCTAGAAGGCCAAGGAAGGAGACATTTGGGGTATGATCAAAGGAGTCAACGGCAGTGCAGGGCCCCACAAAGTAAGGGCAGGAATCATTCGTTAGATTTGGCATTAGGAGATCCTGGGTGAGCCCTTAGTGAGAGATTCTCCTGGTGGTGAGGTTTAGGGGGGACTGAGGACAGGTTGTGGTGAAGTGAAGGGCTGTGATTGTGAGTAAGCAGAGATGGTGATTATAAACCAGCCTTCAAAGAAGTTTGATTGAGAAAGGAAGTGGCTAGCTAGAGAAACCTAAGATTAATGGTAGTGTTTGTGTGTGATCTTTCTTTTTCCTAAAAAACAACGAGAGAGACTCAATCATGTTTGCTGACTGAAGAAAACAGTTGGTAGAGGGAGAAGAAGGATATTAAGAGGGCTGAGAGGTGCTAACCAAATGATAGAGGAAGTCCTGGGAGAAATTCAAGAGGCTGGGCTCAGAGTCCAGGTAGACAGGCAGTCCTTCTCTGACACAGGGGGGACATTGCCTCTGGGGCCTGAGGGAAGCCGGAGGATGAGTGGGGGAGGCAGATAAGCTTGTAGCCAAGGCAGGACAGGAAGTTGAGGGAGTTCCCTGCAGACAGCCACTATTTTCTAGATGAAGATGGAGCTGAGGAAATCCTTGAGGTTTACATTGGGAATTGAGGGGGCTGAGAAGGCCTGAGACAGAAGGAAAGTCCAAGGCTGACCAAGGACCTGACCTGTAGACAGTGAGCAACATGGATCAAGTGGACAGTCCATGCATTTAAAGGCATGGTCAGGGTGGACTCTGGACTCTAAGTGATGGGGACCTGGGTTCTAGTTCCTGATCTGCTAACATCCAGTATGTTAGTCTTATGGGTACTAGGTCTCCATTTCCCCAATGAGAGGGAGGCCTGAGAATGCAGTAAGAGTGTAAGAGTGGGCCAGCATGTCTCTCCTGACTGAGTTTTGAGGGTTTACCCGAAGGTATGGAGTCCTAGTGTGGCGCTGTGGGTTAATGCGCCAGACTGCAAAGCAGTTTGAACTGCAAGGTCAGTGGTTCAAGTTCACCAGCTGCTCCTCGAAAACCCTATACAGGGTCGCTATAGGTCAGAACCAACTTGATGGTACTTAACAACAACAACCCAAAGGTACAAATATTCTCTAGGAACCCAGGGAAGGGAGATTTACTTTAAGGTGGGGAAGGAGTCAGAAGGGAAGCAAAATATAGACAGGAAAAGCATCAAAGCCTGGGATATTTTTAGGGCGTGGCCTGGCTTGGATATGAGGGAGGGCGGGTGCTACAGGAATACTGATTGCAAAGGCTGGAGAAGACTGGATATTAACATCACTGTCACTGACTAAGCACTGCCGAGTGTGGCATTGTGAGGAGTCCTGGTGTGGCGCTGTGGGTTAATGTGTCAGACTGCAAATTCATTTGAACTGCAAGGTTGGCGGTTCAAGCTCACCAGTTGCTCCTTGGAAACCCTATACAGGGTTGCTATGGGTCGGAACTGACTCAACTGCATTTCACAACAACAACAACAATAGTGTGGCATTGTAGGATAAGGACTGCTAACCTCAAGGTTGGCGGTTCAAGCTCACCAGTTGCTCCTTGGAAACCCTATACAGGGTTGCTATAAGTCGGAACTGACTCCACAGCAAACTCAGTAACAACAGCCCACCGGGGCATGCATTGACTGTTCCCTAGGCTCCATTATTATCTCCATTTTACAGATTGAGAAAGAGGCTCAAAGAGTCAAAATAGAACTGTGGCTCCAGACAGAGTAAGAGTGTTGGGTTTGGGGTAATAGAGGTTCTAGTGCCCACGGCAACTTGACTTACATACACAGGCTGGCTATTTCTCTGAACCTTGGTCAATTACGATGGGTATGAAGAGAATGGATATCCTGCCTCCCTAGGTTGTCATTGGGGTGAATGTGCAGGGAAGCAAATCCATAGTTCAGCATGTGACCTTAGGGGACGTCACCATGCTAGGTCTTCTCCCAAGAGTCATTGCTCATGGTCTTGGAGTAGGAAAGCAGCCCTTTCTACAGACTTTATCTCTGAAGAGCTGAGCAATATCTCTGCAACCAAATCACCCCCATTCTTTGCTGACTGAAGTGACTAACAAGGGGATCTTTGTTCTGTGGCCCATCTAGTCCCCAGACCTGAACAAGCTCCTCCTTCACATGGTGGTCCCAGATAAAATGGAACAAAACTCACTTTTTTTCAAGATACGGTTCAAAATCAGCTCTAAAAATGGCTGATAAACCAGACATCAAAGAACATGCACAAAATATTACAGATATAATCATAGATGGGGTGGGAAATAAAATCTGAAGTATATTTGAGATCATTTGTTGTTTGCCACTGAGTCAGTTGTAACTCATAGTGGTAGTTGTGTGCAGTTTAGACAATTCCAACTCACAGTACCTGTGGACAGGGTTTCCGAGGCTGTAAATCTTTATGGGAGCAGAAAGCCTCGTCTTTCTCCTGAAGGAGTTGCTGGCAGACTTAAACTGCTGACCTTGCAGTTGGTGGCCCAGTTGGTTTCTGACTCATAGTAACCCTGTATAGGGTTTCCAAGGATCAATTGGTGAGTTTGAACTACCAACCTTGTTAGTAGTCCAGTGCTTATTCTATAGCACCGTACCATGTAAGGTGGGGGTGTGGGTGGGAGTTGTGATCTAAAGCAACAATTGAAATTAAGTTTTGTGTTCATGACCCTAATAGTCAATTATACCTCATTGATGATGTTGTTAGGAGGCCTGGTGTGGCACTGTGGGTTAACGCGCTAGACTGCAAAGTCAGTTTGAACTGCAAGGTTGGTGGTTCAAGCTCACCAATAGCTCCTTGGAAATCCTCTAGAGGGTCACTATGGGTCAGAACCAACTCAACAAACAACATGATGTTGTTAAGTGCCATGGAGCCGGTTCCGACTCACAGTGACCCTCTAGAGGGTTTCCAAGGAGAGACTGGCGAGTTTGAGCCACGGACATTGTGGTTCAAACTGACCTTGCGGTCCAGAGCTTTATCCCACAGCGCCACACCAGGACTCACTTGTGGTAGAACAAGGAATAAATTATGGAATTACTCGATTTTTTTAATCACCGCCTCAGTCCTAATGAATTCAATAGAATCTAAAATACATTGCTACTTCTAAAACATGATGATTAGAATTTGACCCTAAAATCTGGATTTTTTTTCCCTTTAATCCAGAATTTCTATAATCTCTCTTTTTTAAAAAGGTATAATCTAGAACATTTTATAAATGGTTTGTTCTGAAACCTTCTAAAACATCCAAAGTGGAATAAACGTTATTCCTCCACTGAAATCTTCTTTCTCAATTGTTCTAATACTACAATGAAGCAATATGAAATAAACGTTAACAATCACAAAAAGAAAAAGGATGAAATGAAAAGGAAACATTACAACTTACAGTTTTCTTTCCCCTCAAGGCTTGAACCTGGAAATGAGAAAGAAATATGTTGATTTTAGAAGCTTCAATTTTCATGAAAAAAGATTTAAGTCCTGAAAGAAGAGAATAAAAAACTCACAGAGCCAAAGAGTCAGCAGGACTCCAGACCACATCTTGACCCAGCGGGACCACTTTATCTGCATCCTGAGAGCTTCAATTGCCTAGACAGTTAATTCTGCTTTCTGGCCATGCCTCAAGGGCAGAAGACACTTCCCACAGATGAGAAATTTGCCCTGTGAAAAGCAGAAACAGCTCTGGTAACTTCTCCTGGCGCCTGCAGAGCCACTGGCTGGGACTCTGGTCAGGTAATGGCGGCCATTGCTGGAAACCGGGAACAATGGGGCCTGGGCTGGTCTGATAGTTCCTCAGGAAATGACTGGTCTTCCTGAGGGGGCCACTGAACACAGTTGCTTTGTTTAGTTTCTTTAGGGAAAAAAAAGGTACAAGTAGTGACATTTGTCCCGGAGCGTCTGACTCTCCTTCTGCCTTGCCTGGGTGTAGGGGGTCCATCTCACACCCAGGTAAAGGGGTTCCTCCCTCCAGTCAGTCTCACTTTACTCCTTAGATAACTGAAAGATGTCAGCTCTGCTTTCATTACAGCTCCCAAAGGGGAACTTTCCAGAAGGCATGAATCTGGGCCTCCTGTCTTTTCTAGTAAGGGCTTGGGACAGGGCTGACTTTTCCAGAAAAGGTGGGGCTTGCCAGGGAGACCTGCCACTAGGGATGAAGCTGAGTTTTGAACTTGCTGGAGCTAAGAGGCTCTCCTCAGCCTGTGTGGTTTGTTTCAGGCACCCATACCTTCTCCTAGAGTTTACCCCCTGCAGTCTACACTTCCAACACTGAGCCTGGGTGCCAAATCAATTCCTTTCACTCCCCCTTTCAGAACCTTGCAATGGCGTCCCATCACCCTCTGTAACCGTTTATAACCTCTTCAGCCTGATCTCTCATCACCTCTTTCCTTGCCCCTGCATTGTGGTTGCTAGAATTTATAGTTCCCAGAGCATGTCATGGAGTCCTGCTATGGTGGTGTAAAATAAACACTGGGCTGCTAACCACAAGGTTGGCAGTTCAAACCCACCAGTCGCTCCTCAGAAACCCTATACAGGCTCACTATGAGTTGGAACCAACTTGCCGGCGCTTAAGAACAAGAACAGAACATACCATGTGTCTGCTTTTGCCAGGGCTAGGTAGAGTAGTGGTTACGAATCAGGCTGCTAATCTCAAGGTCAGCAATTCGAAACTACTAGCTGTTCCACAGAAGAAAGATGAGGCTTTCTGCTCCCATAAAGATTTACAGCCTCGGAAACCCTGTACAGGGTAGCTATGAGTCGGAACCAACTCCACGGCACATAACACAACACAACAACAACAATTCCCGATTAGGAGTCCTAGTGTGGCACTGTGCAAGCATTTAAACTGCAAGTTCGGTGGTTCAAACTCACCAGCTGCTTCTTGGAAACTCTTTACAGGGTCACTATGGCTTGGAACTGACTTGATGGCGCTTACCACCACCAACAATTCCCCTGCCTGGAATGCCCTCCCCCCTTTTCTTTTCTGGTGAATTCCCTCTTATCTTTCATAACTCAGTTCAAGCCCCAAGTCCAGAAGCCCTGGACCAGGCTGCCCATGTTGTGTGCCCCTTACCTCTTCAATGCTTCTCTCTGCCAGGCACTTTCTACAGTGTCCTTTGATGCTCTGTTACTGCAGGGACAGTAACTGTAACATCAATCACCAAAAATGATGCCTATGGTGAATGACTGACCTTCTGGGAGACTAGATACTAGTCTCCATTGGATAACTACTGTCTTAAGGTGAAGGAGCCCAGATGTTTTTGGCATACCACTTCCTAGTACCTCCACAGGGTAAAGATAAGTCAAATTTGCAGTTGGAGAAGTAGAAACCAAAGACTACAACTTGAATTTTCTTGGCCTTAGGGCAAATACTAAAACCTGATTGCTTCCATCTAGATTGAGTTAAATAAGAGCCACTGAAAGGCAATGCACACGTAATCCATTCTAAAGCAATTCCAAGGGCCTTTTGTTTTCGGTTGTGCTGTTTACTTTTGGTTGCTTCTGTTATTTTGTGTTCCCTTTCCCCCATTATAAATGATCTTCTTTGACAGCCTACTAGAGATTACCCCACCCATCTACCAAACTTTGATTTCGGAGGGGAAAAAATGGGAAAAAAAAAGGAAGCATGACTAATAAAGTAAATACTGGTTTCAAATGATAATTTTCAGATACTGCTGGGCAAGGCAGGCCTAATCTCTCTAAGAACCAAAACAAGGCAACCTTTGCTTCTCCAAAGTTTCAATAGTGATAAATGTTCTGACCTGATGACCCCGCCTTCCAAGGTAAACTTCTAAAACTTAGTCATTCTTTGATACAGGACGCTAATACTTTTACAATGCCATGAGATAATACAACTTGATGCTTTAAAAGAAAAGCGGAGATATTGTGTCCTACAACTGAGTGGAAGGAAAAAAGATAAGATTCATTCCTCATACTATGTAACAGAATAAACTCTAAATGGACCAAAGATCTGAATATACAAATGAAACTATAAATATCCTAGAAGAAAACATGACAGAATCCATCTTAGTCTTGGAATAGAGAAGGCTAGCTTGTTTTTTGTTGTTTCTAGCTCATAGTGATGCTGCACAGGTTTCCAAGGAATGGTTGGCAGATAAACAAACACTGACTACTAACTTTCCAAGGAGCTCTGGTAGTATAGTGGTTGCTCCGCAGGAGAAAGGTGAGGCTTTCTGCTCCCATAAAGATTTACAGCCTCAGAAACCTTGTACAGGGTTGGTTCGGTGAGTCAGAACTGACTCATAACGGCATATAACCACCACCACCACTAACCTTTCACTTACCAGTATAGTACTTACCCTACACCACCAACACTAGGACTCCATAGTAAGGCTAGCTTCTTCTTGTCGTCGTTATGAGCTTACTATGACTTAAAGTCCAGAAGCAACAATTGTGAGGCTCGAGCAGGATCGGGCAGCATTTCATTCTGTTGTGCCTAGGGTCCCTGTGAGTCTGACTTGATGGCGCCTAACACAACAACAACAATAAACTCTATAATTGGAGTCCTGGTGTGGCACTATGGGATAAGCACTGGACTGCTAACCAACCACAAGGTCAAGGGTTCAAACCTACGAGCTGTTCTTTGGAAACCCCATGCAGGGAGGTCACTATGTGTTGGAACTGACCTGATGGCACTTAACAACAGTAATAACATGTTCTATAATTAGCATTGTGGTCACGAATCCTTTGGACACAATTCTGGCCTCCTGCTGATGGTTTCCCTCATCCGGATGATTTATTTTTGTCTTGTCTTTGTCAATCCAAGACTTAATAAAGTGTGCAATCATTGTGTTGAAGTGAAGTATATGATTTGTTGGATGTAAAACTGATGATCTGCTCTGTAATTATGCCTTTACTCAATTTTACAATAAAAAGTTTGGGTTTTTTTTAACTTAATAAAGGGGTTATTTGGATATATTTAGATTTGGGCTCTTTCCTCACCTAGAACACCTCCCCAATATGTAAAGACCTCTTAAAAAATCCAGAAGAAAAAGATAATAGAATAGAAAAATAGGAAAATGATATAAGCAAAGAGTTTACATAAATAAAAGTATCCTAAACTTGGAGAAAAGCATAAAGGATTACCAGTTCTTTCAGTTCAGGGTGCTGTGAAATAGCAGGCCCACCTGCTATTGTGGATGATCTGACCCTCTGGGCCTATACTGGTTCCCAGAGTCAGGATCAGTTAGACAACAGTGGGCTTGGCTTTAGGCCTGTGTGTGTTTGTTTGAGCAAAGTCGACTAGTGGCTACTAGGGGCTGGAGGGAGGAGGGAAGAGAATGATTGTTTGCAGGGCACTGAGATTCTTTTCTGGATGATGGAAGCATTTAGAAATGGCTAGATGGTTCCACAATATGGGGAACATAATTAATGTCACTGAATTGTAAAAAAAATGTTGGCATGGCAAATTTTTTGTTATAGATATATTCACCACAGTAATAATCATCATAATGAACTAGAGCATATTTTCTCCATCACTTATTTTAATCAAATGGTGATTATGCTCCTTATTTTTTCTCTCTAAAATATGAGTGTCTCATTAAAAATGAAAAGAAACACCAAACGAATACATATAAAGGGAGTGCTTTCTAGTTCAGCTTTTAAAATAGAACAGGTTTTGTGGCCTTTTGTTTGTGTACAGCCTTCTCCTACCTTTCCTGTTCCTGCCCCCGGTTCCTTGGTTGTGGTTGTTGTTAGGTGCCCTGAGTCCATTTCAATACATAGCAACCTTACATACAACACAAGGAAACACTGTCTAACCCTGTGCCAGCCTCACAGTTGCTGCTCTGTTTGAACCGACTGTTGCAGCCACTGTGTCAGTCTATGTCTTTGAGGGTCTTCCTTTTCTTCAGTGACTTTCTACTCTATCAAGCATAATGTTCTTCTCAAGGGACTGACTGTTCCCTCCTGAAAACGTGTCCAAAGAATGTCATCCTCCCTTCTAAGGAACATTCTGGCTGCACTTCTTCTAAGGCAGATTTGTTCATTCTCTGGCAGTCCATAGTATATTCAAAACATTTCTCACAACTCCTCAACTACTTACCCAGTAAATGGACTCCCATGTTGCCAAGGAGTGGGACCCTCACTACATCCCCCAGGCTTGACCAATTCACTGGGGCCCTCTTCCTAACCCATTGCTGCTCTCTTTTTCCCCTGCTTGACCAAATGGAATTGCAGGAGGACAGACACAGAAAGGTTTTCACAGCTTTCTGCCTTCAAATGTTAGAGAAGAACACAAATCCAAATCACGTCACTTTACTGCACGACAAAGCTGTCTCCTGGACTAACCCTCAGGAAGTGGTTTTTCTGAGCAACTGAGGGACATGGGGGAGGAAAGATGGGGTAGACAGGCAGTAGACATGTGTTAGAGCTACAGGCACCTGACATGGCAGCTTCCCACTTCCCTCAGACTGTGGCCACTGGTCTGATTAACCTTGGAGAGGAGATGAATTCACTAGTCTGGGGAGTCACCCAACCAAACACTATACAGGTATAAATGAATCCAGGGCCTGCACTTCCGGTCCCTTCTTTTCTGTTTAGTAGCTGACATG